ATCAAACGCATTTATATCTCAGAAAAGGTGCATTTTGTCAATTTTGTTTGCCCTAGCCAGGTTTAAGTTGTATAACCAGCACTCACTTTCTGGATAGCCACTGGTCTGGCTGACCTTGGCAGCATGACAGCTGTCGTATTTTCACATGGATGAACTGTTCTTGAACAACTCCTCCAATGTATCGGGAACAAACAAGCTTTTCTTCAGCATCAGGAATGCAGCAGGTCTTCTTTCCAACTATTTTTTTCTCCTTCCACAGACATATTTATTGTGGCAATGGCAAGAAAATCCTACTGCTAAGCCTTCGTGTTTGAGTTCCTTTAAATTTCCTTCGGGGAGTGACAGAAAAGCCAACCTAGATCATGTCAGAGCTTGCTTTCTTTAATTTAACTATTCATTTATTTTTAATAAACGTGGGTATTAATTTGTAGTGGCAAGAAAAGTAGGAGGGCAAAATCCTTTTACATCTTTATTGCTGGTATTTCTATTTCTGCTGTGTATTTATTTAATGTAAATCATTGTGGCAGTTAGCAGTGACAAGAGGGCAGGATGCTACTGGAGAGGGTATTGCACAAACCCAGAGTGTTTGCAGTGTGATGGATAAGATGGACAAGATGACCAGTGATGAATGGCAGGGAGTATTTTATACAAGTGGAGTGACCTCCAGCTGGTAGCAAGCTTGCTAGATCCTTCAGCTGAATGAGGGGAATCAGAGGATGAAAGGAGCAGGAGCTGGTGTCAGGAGTTAGAAGTAGCAGCATGGGGAGGCAGCAGGGGCAAGCAGTGAGCTCAGACTGGACTGGGGTAAGAGCCCCTCACTAGCAGAGGGTAGAGGGTAATGGTGAGAGCACAGTCCTGCTGACACCATGATCTTTTTGAGAATGAAGCAGTTCTGTTAGACAAAAAATCTTCATCTCCAAAAAGATATTTTCTGTTGAGTTGTGAGAAAAGGAGAGAACATTCCCAGAAGAGCCAATAATCCATTTGTTAGAGCTTCTGCCTGGCAGACAGAAGTTCATGTTAATTTGGGGCCTGATTCAGACCGGAGGTTTGTATTTAGCTGAAGGTTGTATTTCTACTTTGGTCCTTGCAGTTACTTACAGATTTGTAGTAGTACAGTGCCATGGCATGGATTAACTGCTCAGCAACTTCACTCCTTCAGTAGTTTTTGCAGCCTGCACGGAGCTACAACTGAGCACACCTAAATGTAATCTCAAATTAACTGGTTTTCTCCAGAACTGCGCTCCCATACCCTCCAACCACATCTGTGTGGGATAAGGGTGAAGCACGGACTCCTTCAATTTAATAGCAATGTAAGTCAGTAAATGCAAGTGCTTTGTCAAAGTTTGCATGTTTCTGGACCTGAGCTGACTCACATGGAGCTGGCTTGTGTTTCTCTGCTCCATATGCACAAATGCTCTTCACACCAGGGATGTTAGTAGTCAGAAAGGGAGTCAGAAAATATATTTTAATTCATGCAAAAAATTAAACCTTCAATGGTAGCAATAATTGATGACTGAGTGTTGTGTGGCAGAAGAGCTAGTGTTCAGCAATCACATAAGTTTGGAGAGAGAGTTAAAGTTGAAGATTTTATTGACACTCCTGTGTTTTGCACATTTTTTTCATCTTGGGAATGAATTTCAGACCCCAGTGGTTAGTATTAATGCTATATATCCTCTGTGGTTAGTATTAACGCTACACAGGCCTGCCAAATGCGGAGAAAGTTAGAACTAAAAAAAATAATAACCCACTGTGAAGAAGTTAGATGCAAACAAACTGGGATGGAGGTTTATGCTTACAAAGAGCTCAGCCCTATTGGCACTTGTCCTGGACCAGTCCTGTCAATCTAAATGTGAAATATTTGCAGAGTGAAGTGTTGCTAATGAGCAAGGCTGGCAGGACCGGGCTCAAGGTGAAGAAGGCATCTGAACAAGCGGTTTAAAGTAGGAACCGAAAGACTGTGTTGAACCCCGTGAATCAAACTGTTCCACGCTACCCTTGTCTTGATCGCTTCTCATTCACCTTCCTGCCAAAGTGGGGGGAGATTGTCAGCCAGCGCGTGCTGTGCCAGCTCGGGAGCCGCTCAGCTCTTGCCTGGATGAGCGTGGGATGCTTTTGCGTAGCCAGGGGGGACTCCAGCTTTGGTGTGTTCCAAAACAAAGTGCAGTCTATAGTTTGTTTTGTCTTTCAGTGGAATAAAAATACGGCGCTTGGCAGAATGTATTCTGTAAACTGGCAACTTTTTACTTAAAATGCAGTGAGCAAACTTGGCCATGTAAAGTTGGGGTCTTGAAAGTTCCTCTGAAAATACTGGGTTTTTTTTTTAAGTTAATTTTTTTCTGGAGTTGATTTAATTCAAAAGAAATTTTGTTTGTTTGCTAACTTGCTGGAGGTTTTTTGGTAGGTTTAAACAGATGAGTTTCACTTCTGCTGTTTAGTTTGGTGAAATGTCTGTAGAAATTGGGGGAGAAAGCATGGTACAAATGGAGTTAGACTTTGAAACTTTGGGTTAGAGTTTGTGGATCCCAAAAGCCAACTCTTGTGTTTCATAGTGATTTTCCAAGCCTTTGAGCTGATATGAGCTTATACTTTGTAAGAGGAGGGGAAGGCCCAGTGTTTCTCTGGAGAGCTTCACAAAGAGCTTTCAATTTCTTTTGGGGCCCTTGAGTAACCCACCAACCCCCATTGTCCAGCGCTCGTGCGTGCTGTGCAAAGCCAGACCAGGAAGGCACTTCCCACATTTGAATGGCTGATGCTGCCTTTCAGCACAGATATTTTTAACTATTTCATGTCCCAGCTCCCCTCAGGGCTGAGGTATTGCTCCACAGCTGTGGCAGCCTGGGCAGGCAGCTGCTGGGCTCAGTGCTTGGCGAAGCCGTCAAAAATCCACCAGCAAACCCGGGGCAGCACCAGCTTCTCCCCAAAGAGCAAGTCGCTCTGAGAGGTTTTGCCACATAAGGGCCTGTTCGAGGCTGTAGGCACCAGCTGACAGGGATGTCTTTGCCTCCCGACAGATGGCTGGGCTTCTTATTTCAGCAAGCAATCTCGCACGGAGGGGTGGTCTCTGGATCCTGCCAGCATTTCGCTTGACAGGACCAGCTTAGGGCAAGAGGGATCTGATGTCCGTGCCCTTCATAGCTCATGAGCTAAATGACGAGCTGTTGACAGGAAAGCCATCATCTGAAGTGTAAGATCCTGAACTCTCCCTGCTTTTCATTTTTCTTTGGTGGAATTAGTGCCCTATTTGCTTGTCTCTCAAAATCCATTCTGGCATGAGTACAAACCCTCGCCTGGTGGCAAGCAGTTGTCTGGATTCAAGATGCCAAGATTTGTGCTGACAGCTCCTTCTACAGAATCTCAGTAAGACTGTCACAGCTGGCCATTAGAGGCTTAAAAAGACACATACATGTACAACAAATAGCACCAACTTTCTGTTATTGAATATCAGAACCTGCTTGATGAGAAGTCGTAATGGCTTACACTGCTCTTTATTTTAACGTAAACAAACACAGTGTCTCCAAACCCCTGTTCAAGTGTGGTGGCGGTTTATTTTATGTTGATTGCTTGCTCTTATTTAGGAGCACAGGTCTAGAAGGGACTTTCTGGGTCAGGAGATCCAGTCCTTGATAATCACAAGCATCACGTCTTATAATCCTCCTCATTACCTTACTTTAATGAAAACAGTCCATTGTAGTTTCAATTTGTCCTTGCAGCCATTTGCCTAGTATGATTTTCTTGGCATGGAGGAACAAGCACCAAAACTTCCCTTGTTGAGGAGCGTCATCACAACTAGAGCAGGGCAAAGAATGCTGCTCATCAAAAAGGGATTTTCTGAAGCTGTTTACCCTGCAGTTTTGCCTTTCTTGGTGGCAGTATGTGCAAATTCTGCTGACCTAGCATTGAATTTGGGTTCTAAAAGATGGATGCTTGCGAAAGTTAACTTTCTGATTTAACGTAAAACAGGATCAAACAATTCCCCACCCCACTTTTGTATATGGAAACAGGTCAGATTATCTTCTGCTTAATCGACTGATGGTTATTGCAAGTGTGATGCTGCTCTGTCTGGTTGCGCTAGGTTTTGAACTTGCTGTAGGATTAAATTTTGCATGGCTGAGCTTTAGTAGACCTTAGTCTGTAGTTTATTTTGGACAAAAGGTTGATAAACTTTGGCTCTCAGGGAGGAAGCCTGGAATCTGAGACCTGCTATTATTCATTGACTTGTCTTTATGAGTTTACAGTCCACTGGTGCATAACACTGAAGGAAATATTTTCAGTGAAATGTTTGCTTTTTTCTTTGGCTTTGTAAAATGCAATGTCTTTTCTTAGAGATATATGTCAGGGTCATATAGCTACTTCAGTGAACTGTGTATGGTCAGGAAGTAGACTGCATTGAAAATATTTCATTTTTCCATGAAGTCAGTCTTTTAACCAGGACTTCCCCCCTTCTACTCTCAGGGTTTTGGTCTCCCACTAACCACTATTTGAGCATTAACGTTATGCACAAACTGGGTTTAATTGTGGAAGGGAGATTTCAACTGTATGGAACATTTTCAGTATTTTTGTATTAAATGAAAATTTGCGTGTGACAGCGAACTTCCAAAACAAACCACCATTTATACATAAGGGAATTTTCTTGACTGGCATTTTTCTATCCTCTTTCTGCTGTGTTGAAATATGTGTCTCTTACTTTCTTGATGCTACGGATGGCACAGAGAGGCTGGCCATTTAGCATGATAGAGGGACTGACTCTGCAAACTTTAATGGCTCTGACACAGCAGATCTATTAATTTAATGCTTAAATGTTCAGGACGTGCTTACACATTTTGCTGGATTGGGGCCCATCCAAGCTCTGGTCCTTCTTTGGATGGTCAGTGGGATGATTTGCTGAGTTAGGAATAGTAATGTAAATAAGGCTTTGTTGGACCAATGTGCAGATGTTACATAGTACTACTGTGCACTGTTTATAAGATGTTAATGTCCGTTTTTCTTTCTCCACAGGTTCTTCTTGAAATTTTTCCTCAAATGTAACCAAAATTGCCTAAAAAATGCAGGAAACCCTCGAGACATGCGTCGATTCCAGGTCAGTCGGACATGCTTCCTCCTTTAAAAATCAACGGCTGTTAGGGACAGAAGTACTTTGACCTAAACTAACCTAGTAATTCACTGGAAGATGCTAAAAACATAAGGTCACAGAATATTGCCTGAGGACTTCTTGTTGCAGCAGAAATGGCAGGAAGTAGTTGGGTTTTCTTGCTCTGGACAAGAGAACTCTTGAAGATAATGTCGTCTCCACAGGAAGTGAAAGCATGAAAAGGAAAAATCAAAATGGTCTCACTGTTGGTTTAGATTATGGAACTACCCTGCTCTGAGGTATTCCCCTCTGCCTGGGGAGCTATTTGCCTTCATGTAAACACTAAGTGTTTATTGGAAGGGTAGAGGAGGATACAAGAGCAATTAATAAAATCAGGCTCATGACTACACTTCAGCAGTTATTCTTTCACAGCGTTAAAGACTCATAAATGTGTATCAATGGGATGATGGTCCATCCCTGTGGGCAGCACTTGAAAAAAACTATCATTGGCTGTATCTTTCTTGGGATGCTTTGGGCTGGTGTTTCCCCACTGTTGCAGCATGTGGCAGCAGGGCTGGGGAACTGTAGTATCAACACAGCTCCAGATGGCTGAGGACGTTTTTTTGTGCTATGCCTATGTCCACGACTACTTTTGGGATCAAGTACAGCGCTGTTCCTTGGGAATATGGTCTGCACTTGCCATCCCCAGTGCTGGCAGCAGAGTGGTGTGGTGGCAATGCTGAGAAATAGTTGCTCCAACCCGTTTATTGACGACGTGGTCCTTTGACTGTGCCAATAATGCTTTATCTGAGTATGTGCTGAATAAAAATACGGGGTAGAGAGCTAAAGGACCTTCTGTTTTGATTGGAGGAGGGTATATGGCCCAGGGAGAAAACATGACAGAGTCTGTCAGTGGGGATTTCCTTAGGGTTCTGAGGAAGAAATAGATTTGTCCCATAGACTACATGGGTCTCTGGAGATAGACAACTCCAAAAGATGGCTGGTTTCTGCAAGTAGCTCAGGACTTTGCATCTTTTCCAGCATTGTCACACTTAAATAAAAGTGCTAAATGCTATTTAAATGGCAATATTATTTATATGTAGAACATATGTCTTTTGTTAAACTGCTTAATTGCAACAATGCTGAAAGGCAGAAGGGTGTTATTTGCCCCTCTGAGCATAGAAGTGCAGAAGTGAGGACATGTGGCCAGAGGGATTAAATTAATCAGTATAAGAGCTACCATTAGCATGGCAGAGCCCTCGGCTTCTCACTCCATCACGTTTCTCCTGTGATTAGAGAGGGCGTTATCACTGAAGGAGAAAGTGGAAAAAGGCCTCTCACCAGCACGGGGATTTAGGCCAAGCAGTCACCCCTAGGGCCTGTCAGAGCTTGCTTCACAACATGTACAGTCTGCTGGGTTTTGCTCGCCCAGGCTCGAGACTGATTTTCATATGGTAATGCCTTTGCGTGTTCTCTCAGAACAGCAATCAGGAGCCTGTGTCGGCGAGTAGGTAGGACATAGGAAAGGTTGTTGATCTTTTGACTTGTAAAGACATTCTGTCATACAAACCCAGCTTCACAGCAGTTGAGCTTTCCATGTGTAAACAGAGACTGCTTAATTACACAGGTCATGTCAATTAGTGTGACCTTAGCATTTTCAAGAAATTAATCACTTTCAGCCAAGCGAACCACTCATACTATAATACAGGGTGGTATTGAAGCTTGCAGCATTCTGTTAAGTGCCCAGGCTTATTGTTTTACAATAGCTGCTTTTGTTTCTTTTCTTTTCTTTCTTTTTAAATTTTGAACTACTTGGTCTTTTAGCAATAGACTTCTTAAAATAAAACAGACAGACTCTGCAGAGTACAGGCTTCATTTATCATTTCTTAGGGTGAAAAGGCCCAAGCATATGCATAGTATCTCAGTGATATGATGCACCTAGATGTTTGAGACAATGTTGTATAGGAACCAACTGAAATCTGTGCACTTGTGAAGTCATTGGAGGGTTTGCTACCAGCTACCTTTGAAATATTGCCCGTGACTTACAAGTTCTCTAATAGTTGTGTCAAAGTTCTGGTTAAAAACCATAAGTGAAAGGTATTTCCAGATACTTTTTAAATAGAAGCATAATCTTTTTACACACAAAAAAATGAGACGTTCCCTTCCTTTACTTCGTTGCCCTATCTGTGCTGGACTGTTAAGCTGCCCAGAGATTTGTCCACCTTTTGGCCATGGTCTCTCGTTGATCAGTACCCGAAAGTTGCTAGGAGTTACTAGAACATGGATTATGGTTTTGGCGGGAGAAAAAGTGAAGGGCCAGGGACATGAGTCTTGCACTATCTAAGGACTGGTCCTGGGTTAAATTTCCTTGCTTAGTAGTTTTGGTTGTTTTTTTTTCCTGCAGAAGGAATTAATTGCCTGATTATCATACGGTATTAGAGAGGTTAAGAAAATACAGGGAAGAGGCAGAGTATGTGTTAATTCAGGTGACCTGTGTGTGAAACATCATTCAGACTCACATACAGAAATGAATTAGGAAGTTTTACCCTGAACTTTGCATGCAAATGTAGTAGTGTGATAAGCCTAACATAAAAACAGTTGTGGGCCTGGAAGGAAATACATTTCTCTGCATGTCTGAGATGTCCAGGCATGTGACAACTGGAGCAGTGTTGAGTGCCAGCAAAAGTGTGTGCTGGAGCAGTGCTGGCCCTGTCTGTATTACTTGTGTCTCTATTAGCAAAAAGAGACAATCAGAGAGGAGAAGTCAAGTACTATGCTGGGACTCAAGACAGTTGAGTTGAGTGTTCAGCAGACTCCCTGCTTGTCCTTGAGAAAATAATTTCATCTGTTTCCTCAGCCCAAGTGCGCAAAACATTTGGTGGTATCATGTATTGTCACTTTTGTCCAACCTTGCCGTTTTATTCCAGAAACCCCATGGAGCAGATGCTGATTCTGGTTTTTCATTCTTTGTCGCAAAAAACATCAGTCTTGGTGGGATGGGCTGTAGTGCCCCAATTAGTGGTAATAATGATAATACTAAGTAGATGGTGTCATGGGTGAGCTCTGCCCAGATTTTGTTTTTTCAGCACTAAAAACTCGTTCATACAAACTAATCAGTTTCGTATGTTATTGTAATTAATGAAACCCAGGTGCCCTAGTTATCTGATTGTTGTTCTTGTTTTAGCACAACTGCTTGCAAACTGACATATGTCAAGATTTAATTTAGAGGAAACTTTTCAGGCTGAGACACTAGATAAAACCCCAAACATTCATTTATTATGAAAACCTTGAAAGTCACTTAGAAATTACCATGCTGTTTGATTCTGTTACCACAACCTCTTCCTCAGCCTAGGCTGCTAGTTTTCCTCCATGGGACGCTGCCACTCATGTTTGAATTGAAGCCACTTGTGCCTTATTGCAAATTTGCATAAAAGACAGAGATGATGCTTCATGAATCCCAGATAATGGAATTTGGACATGCAAGGCTCCATCCCCAGAGAAGGGAAAGGCAAAAAAAAAAAAAAAAAAAAGGCTGAAAAATAGCAGTGAGAGCTGTGGCCCAGTTCAACAAGGTAATTAAGCACCTGCCCTGCGCTTGAGCACGTGAGCAAAATTACTGAATGTATTGTACTTATGTACTTTGTTAGGCATCTGTTTAAGTGTCTTGTTAAATCGAGAGTGATTTTTAGTTACTAGAATAAAGAAGTCAACACATTGTAGGAAGAGGTCACCAAGTGGTGATGAAAATAAAGATGTTGCTCAAGCCATTTCTGCATAGCTTTCAGTAGAGCAGCGAACACTGGAGTTACAGGTTTAACACTAATGACACACTTCAAACCTGGAAATCATCTTAATCAGATTTTCTCTGCCTTTGCCACTGGATGTTGGGGGCATTGCAAAAATATCAGGTCCCTCACCATACATTGGAGAAAATTGAAAGCACAAGGAACATGCTATGTCTTAATCAGTTAGCAAAACTTAATGGGCTGTGGTTAAAAATGAGGAGTCATGCAATGCTTAATTTTGATATATTGGGTGAGGTACTATAACAAATAAACAGGCCAAGTGCTAAACGTGGATAAATAACTTGATCTCCAGGCTCCTGGAGTCCTGAATATTTTATTTTTTTTTCAACTAAGCTCCACAGTATTCACAAACTGAACTATTTAATGGCAGGCAGAATAATTCACAGAGCCGTGATACGTTAATGCAGTTGATAGTGCCAACTTCATTGAAGAAAGTTGTAAACCGGCGTGTTTCTTTCATACCTCTGTCTGCCCTGGTGTTGATACAGGATTTAAAGTCGAAGTCTGTGAAGGGCCAAAGCTAAAGCTCAAAATCATTTTCCATGTTTGCCTGTCCCAAATTAAAACTGTGTTTTGTTGACAAAATTTGGAAAGGTTTGAGATTTGGCAGGCCTGGTTGTCCCTGTGCTTACATTAATGTGTCAACACCTCATTAATCATTTATTAAACTGCAGTGTGCCTTTTGCTCTTGCTATGGTCTGTGTTTTAGGATGCCTCAGTGCCCATTCCACATACACTTTGGCTCTCCCCTCCCCCTAATTTTATGATTTCTCCACAAATTAGTTTTAGCATGTGCTTTAACTTGAACATATCCCAGTCGTTTCAAAATCAAAATGAAGAGAGTGTAGTATTTTTTTAGATTAAAAAATATGAGTAGAACTTGTAAGTATGTAAGTGCTCTGTAGTGATCCAAGTATGTAACTGTGGCACACAATATTCAAGGTGTATTTTTTCTCTGTTAATAATTAGGGGTATTAGTATTTCGTTAGTGCAGTGTATGTTCAGTATTCCTGTATTAATGAGATTTTTGCATTTAAAGAATTGAGCAGTAAGCTTGCGCTGCTTCTTAGAGGTGCACTATGAATAATCATTTTTTTACAGATACATAAGAGTAACCACGTTTTTTTCTGCATTTCCTGAGACTGGAAACAGCTTCTCTTGGGGATTCCTTTTATAGTTTCTTCTGCTAACGACACTGGAGAACCACACTGATGTGGTCTCTTTGTAGTAAATCAAACTCTCTGTTCAGGAGGTAGGTAGGAAGGCACTGTTAAGTAATTCAAAATCTGTTGCATCAACAGTTCCAGAAACCTGAAGGGGGAAAAATTAAATGTAGATTTACTCACATAAAACTGACCTCACTAGGATTGTTTCCTTGAGATTTTCCCTAGAAGGGTGAATGTACAGCAACAGCTACATATATATATGTTTATCGCATGTTTGAGACCTGCCTTGCTATTATTACTCAACACATTATTTTTCTGGAATCCAGTTTCTAGAAATGTTCAAAAGTTTGGGTTTCAGCACAGGATTGGTTAGTTTCAGTGGAAAAATCTGTGTGTACCTATATTTTTAGGATTGGGGCAAATATTTTACATTGTAGCCATTGTAATTAATTGTATTAGTGTTAATTTTCATATGCATCTAAGCAGACCCGTAGAAAAAGATAAGGAGCTGGCATAAATCATGGAGCTGTGACAGGCAATGCCAGCTAAGGATTTGGCTCAAAATCCCAGTTGCAAAGCCTTTACAATGGTTGCAAGTGCACAAATAAGATTGCAAACCCTGAGCCACTTACTATAAGATCATATTTTATTGAAAAGATCATAAACTTTATTCTATCCCTCAGGAACGCAATGGATAAATTACTTTTGAGATCCCTTTTGGAATTTTATATATAGGGCTTGCGTTTTTTTTCCCCTTAGTTTGATTTCAGAAAAACTTACCTATAGTGTTTGGTGCTTTCTTTTTCCCAAATTTCCATCTGTAAGAGCTCTTGAATAATTTATTCTGTATTTTAATATCTTTCACTTAAAATGCACACAAAAACCTATTGCCTGGAATGCTATTCTGAGGGACGGTTTCAGGATCCTTTAGATGTAAATATTCTGGTTTGTATTCCTCTTTTTAAAGACAAATACTTCGGGATTAGCTATGGGCAGTTTAGCAGCTTTCCTTACTTTATATTTTTAAGCATTTTAATCGGTGTTCAGAAATAGGTAGAAAAATTTTTCTTTAACTTTTTTTTTTAGATCCAATTCAAGTGATGAAATTGAATTGTTGTAAGCGATTCTTTAAGTGTCCCCATTTGACCAACTTTGAGAGGCAGCAGCTTCCTGAGAGAGTTGAAGCAATGTTTGCCAATCCTTGTAAAGCATTTCACCTCTTCAGAGGCTAAAGCCTCTCAAAACCAAGAACAATTAAAGCGAGAGCCTTTCAGAGCAACTGGGGAATTCAGCAAAATAAATCAGAAATCCTCTGCCGTGGCTCTGGAGGCTTGCCTCATTATAAGAGCAGATCTATTAGCCCCCTTGCCATTGTCTTTCATTTCTCAAGTGAGGTGATTCTAATTAAATTAATCTGCATGTCAATCTATCGGTGATCAATCAAAAGGGCTGAGGTCCCCCTTTGCGGCAGTGTGCTTGCGGCTGACAGGGGCTGATAATGGAGGAAGAAATAAACTGTCGAGCAAAGTTAATTAGTCAACATAATAGGTGGATTAAACAGGAGCTGCTGATTGCTGTTTCACATGTCGAAGCATGAGGTGGGAGCTGAAACTGCAATTAACAGACAATTATTATATTTGGTTGTAAGAGGTCGCATGAATAAACATATCTCTGTGGGTTTCAGTTTTTAATCCCTTTCCCTGTTTAATGTAAGGAGAAGTGTAGGTCATTTCTTCTTATTGTTTTAGTCAAAGTTCTTGAAGGCAACGCGTGCTCCTGGCAAACCAGCAGCCAGCTGAAGGCCAAATCTTTGGCTGGGTTAAAACCCTGGGAATGCCACACTTTGTTGGGAGAAGACTGTGCGAGGCGGTGGCTGAATGAAAGCCAGGGAGGCTATGAGGTCGCTTGGTCTGAGTGGGGTGGGAGGAGACCAGGTGTGATGAGCTCACAGCTCTGCCAGGGACTTGCACTGTGCATCTCCCCATTTCCTCCACAATAGTTCATGGCTTGAGTGCACTCAGCCTGAACAGGGATTTCCTATAGGATGCTGCCTGCTGAGCCTCAAGGTTGAGAGGTCCCTCTGGACACCTCTGAGCAGTTATGTCTTCTATTCTGGACTGTCTCTGTCCTGCCCCAGGCTGCTCTGGGGAGCAGAAGTGTCAGATCCTGCCTCCAGGGCAGTGCTTCTCTGTCTCCCTCCCCTTGCCTCGAACCAAATCCCAGGTGTTGACATTGAGATAGAGAAATACAAAAAATTCTAATGCTGGATGAATAGGGTTGTGTTCTCCAGATGGAAGACCTCACTGTCAAGCGTGCATGTGTACACAAACATACCTATATGTACTCCCTTAGATAGAGCTCAGGAGAAATTTGGGGAAGTCCATCAACCTGTAGTGACTGTACTAAGGGGAGAGCAGTAGAGAAGGAGGGGATAGGCACACAACAACTGTCATTACAACTCACAAACCAGACTTTTGTTTTCTTTTATTCTGAATCGATTCTTATTTGCAATGTCAACAGCTCTATCTACTTCAGCATGGAAACTGAAGGATAATTTAGGGTGAAACACAGCTGCCCTTGTATATAGGGGGAAAAATACTTAATAAAGATCTTCTTGTTAAAATGATGGTTAGCAGTGTGCCGACTGCCATGCAGCTACAAACTCTGCAATTTGACTTAAAACTGCATCAAAAGCTTTCGATGCCAAAGACCCACTCATCAATAGCGTCTCTTGTTAAGATTTGTACAGCATAAGCACCAGTTATTATGCGAAATAGCTACGCAATTTTCTACAGCTCCCAGCTGTTATTTATTTAACTGAGTTTATTACACTCTGTGCTTCTCAAAAAACATACATATATATCCAAATTTTCCTCCATTTTGCTCTTGTGCTTGCAGGTTGTGGTGTCTACAACAGTCAATGTTGATGGCCATGTGTTGGCAGTGTCGGACAATATGTTTGTACACAACAATTCCAAGCACGGGCGGAGAGCTCGAAGACTTGATCCCTCGGAAGGTACGCCTTCTTATCTGGAACATGGTAGGCATATCATTTTCATTGGTTGGCATTGCTGCTTTAAATGTGGATTTGTTAGTTTGTGTCTCTGGCTACTGGTTTCAAATTGTTCTGTAACAGTTTATACCTTTGGGACTGGATATTTTAAAGAGACAGGCCTTCAAACCAAAGGGAGAATTTTTCAAGTAGGTCAGCACTAAATGTAGTGAAATGATAAACCAGTAAGCAAACATGGATGCAGAGTCTTTCCTGTATGTCAGTGAAGTGTGGTGATTTGTGAGTTGGTTGTTTTGGGTTTTTTTGATTGCATCTATTCAGCACCCAAAATAGGAGTCTGGTCTTTTCCAAATTGCCTTGATTTTTGACTATGCATCTAAAGGATGTTGTATATTTTCTGAAGTGCTCAGCACCCAAATTTCAGATTGGATTTCTTCTATCTATACAGGACTGAGCTCTCTAGGACATCCAGCTGTTCCTTTGAATTGCCCGAAATGAAAACAGAACCCTTTCGGAAATCCATCTGCTTACTCAAGCCATGGACTAGTGTTCTCTTCTGGCTCTAGATGTGGCAATTGAGGAAGCTGCTCTTCCCTGCATGCCACAGCTCCTTGTCTCTCCTCCCTGCCGCAGGCTATTCTCCACCATGGACATGCCAGCTAAGATGGCTGTCTACTTGCTCCCTAGTCTCCTTCAGTCCAAAGAAGTTCGTTTGAGTTAAACCATTTAAATAATAAATCTTTGTCAATCTAGCTTGTTTTGCTGAAATGATTGAAGGAGAAATGGTGCAAGGCAATTTGTCTGGCTTTTCTGAAAGGACAGTAAACCCCAGCAAGGGTGGGATGTGGGGGCACGTGGCTGGGAGCAGCCCTGGGGACAGTAATCTTTTCCGTAAGATCAGCTGGTCCTGGAAGAGAACATCTGCTGGTGACTGTAGGTGCTTAAAATGGGAGTTGTTGAGTGCAAATGTACTTTGAAAAATCTGGATTTGATTAATGTTTTGTTTTGCTCTTTGTCCTCAAAGACGATGACTACTACTGAGAAACAAAACAAAAACAGAGGGCATTTCACTATTTCACTCCCCGCTTCCTGTTCCAGCTTGGTAGAATAGCTCTTTGTCTTCAAAGCTGTTTGCAATCCTAAATTCAATAGGTGCTTGCTCCCTCTAAGAGATGTGTACCTTCAGCTTCCATTGAAGTAGTTGAGTGTAGAAGGCACCAGTCCTTTATGCGGGTTTGTTTCACAAATATTTGCCAGGGATCTGATGAATAATTAAATAGATTTTTCCAAAGAGTTTAAAGAAACCAGATAAAATTTTCTCTGGGAAAGCGAATGCCACTCAGAAAAATGTTAAGTAGATATGTTAAAAGAAATTATTAATACTGAAAAATGGGAAAATGTCTGGGTTTCTATTACTCAGTGGATTCCTGTGGAAATAGCTTTCTATTCTGTTTATACTTTCAGGCATCAGTCCTGCAAGCACTTATGCATATATTTAAAATTATGTGCACATATGGTCCTGTTGGGATCAATGAGGCTTCCGGTGTCAGTGAAGTTGAGGGTATTGATAAGTGTTTGCAGAATCGGGTCTGTAGTTCACACTTACTAACCTAGAATTCTTAGCTCAGCAGCGTTTCTCATTATATAAACATAACTTACATCTGTATTTATTTAGCTCTAACTTTTTATGTAGGCTATGAGCCATTTTCAGCCATAATTCATGTTATAGAAATTTTTTTCATCCTGCCAACAACCTAATTTAATAAACAAACCACTGTCATAATTTTTGCTGAATTTTTGTAAGGAATGTACGAACTCTGTCTTTATTAATTAGCAGAAGGCAGAACATTACAAAAGGAAGCTTCTCTCTGTTCCACTTCGTAATCTTTCCATTAAGTCTGGTCTTTCAAAAAAACACTCCTATTTTTCATTTATATTCTTACTAAAAAAGGTGACATCTTTTCTCCCCTCCCCTCACCCCTTGCAGTCTTCTCAGTGCATGCTTTTGGTCAAGGCAATACTTACTTTCTCATATATAAATGTTCTTGTTCCCATGCATGGTGTGATAACATCTCATTTTACTACAGCTGTCTTTCCTACTCCTACTACCTGAGGGATTCTCTTAGCAAAAAGAAATGAAAAAAAGACAATGTTATTCTTACATACCTGCACAATCCCTAGTTACTATGCTAACATTAGAAGTCCACATCTGCAAAATATCTCCATGTGTACATTTTGTAGGAAAGGTGATTTTTCTAATCTGCTTTCTTAGGCACCTCTCAAGCAACCTCATAAAGCAACCACTAGTAAGTTCTTACTTTTGAATACCAACCTCCACACTAGAAAATTGCATTCTTACCAAAGGCTTGGTGGAGCCTTTCTTTTTTAACATAAATCTTTCAATCCAGCTCTCCAGGAATTCATTCGCATCCAAGAGACAGGAAAAAAAAAAAAAAAGGTAAAAAAAAAAAATCCAGTAACAGTGTTAAATGTTATTAGCTGTCTAAAACACGTAACTGAATGAAAAAATAAAATAGGAAAAGTCTTTACTGGGCTTAATGCTATTGAATTTTGGGCAGCCACCACAAACCTTAGACATTGGAACAGCTGACAGTTTCCTCCACTGAAATTAATTTTTACTTTTAGTTTGAGTCCCAAAGTATATTATTTTGCTTCATTTTTTGGAATTGTTATCTTGGATAATATCTTCAAGTGTAAGTAGCAGAGACAGTTTGTTTGCCTTTCCTCTTTCCAGCTTTTCTGCCTCCCTCAGGGGGAGGACAGATTGACCTGAACAGTATCTGTAAACGGTGAAATGGGAAGCTAACATGGTCATGGCCAGTTTGTCTCTGCTTTATTGCTCTGGTGAGCAACTCCTGATCATAGGTTTTTAAATGTTGGGATGTAACTATAATATGCCCTTGACCAAATGTATTCCCTTGTACTTTTCTAGACGTTTAACTCTTTAACACAAATACCCAGTCGCAATAGAGATGAATGCTGACTGTGTGAGGACTGGGGAAAGGGGAGAGGGGATGGGGCAAGAAGGTCTGCTGTTTGCCTAGTTTAGTTAGAAAATATCCATCTTATTTTTCCTTACAAAGTTGTATTGAGACATGTTGCTCTTAAACATGGAGTTGCAGTTTGTGTGGCACCTGAAAGGAACTTTGGATGCCAAAAAGCTGTAAAGAAAGCTTTACCTCCCAAGCCACTCAGGAGCCTGGTGTCTCCACATTTGGGTTTTACCATCTCATTAGCAGGTAGCCTGAATTATTTTTGGGACATCCAACACATCTCTATTTGTATCTTGCTTGTCAGACAGTAAAATGAAAGTTTCTTTTTGTAGCTCATCTCTCTGAATATAACTAGGAGCCTAGATCATGTTTTCATGTCCACACACTGTCCTCCTTGAAACCAGTGGGTTAAGAAGCTTGTATTTCAAATAAGTATATCTATATTTCAAAAGTAATAGCTGGCAGAGGCCAATTATTTCATACATTTCTGTGTGGTATAAATAGGGTAAGCCACAGTAGTCTCTGGTTTTCAATAATTATCACTTTTTCATTCACAAATAGTTGGATCCTCACTTGTTTTATATTTATGGTAAACCAGAAAGCTGGTGTGGTTGACCTTTCTAAATTGTACATATATAGTAAGATGTATATTGAAGAGCCAATAGGCCCTAACCAATAGAATGTATTTCAGCTTGTAGTTCATCCCAGGGTGTCAATTTTAAAAGCAAAATCTTTCCAATGCAATTTAAGTGACTATCTTATGGAAGAGGGGAATTCTGACAGGGTTTGCAACAACTCTTTTCAAGTTTACCAGCATGAAGTCCACCGCTGCAGATGTCTGCAAAGTTTCTAGTTAAAACTCTCATATCACTGCAAAGTAAAAATTCTTTTTTTCCCCAAAATCTTTGAATGGCTTTACAAGAATGTAAAGCCAATTGCAGCATCAGTTTCTCTATTATTTTTCTTCACTGGCAGAATGCAATGCCCTCAAAAAATGATAGTCCCTGAGACCCTGTCAGTTTGCATGCTCTAACACTTTATTATCTAATGATCTAATATGCAACAAGGCAAAGAGGGGGTGCTTATCACCCTGACAGGATGCCTAAGAGAAGTGACTAAATTACTTTATGTACCATTAGCACTAGCTGCCACGGTGAACTCACTGTGAGCATTTATGCAAATATTCTTGAATACATTCAAGTGGCCTTGTCAGGAAGACGACTGACAAGCAGCTTAAATGCTTGGGTTTTTAAAGGAACAGTTTTACTTCTTTTTCCTTTCCTTCCTCCTCCTCCTCCTCCATAGGAGAGCGCTGAAAAATTAGGTGATGGTGAGGTTTGGTGGCAATTTGGTTCTGAGTCAGCTCAACAGAAGCAAAAGATGAAAGATGCAGAGTAGAAATAGGGACAAATTATAAGAAATCATGCCAGAATTTGCAGATGGAAGCAGAGACGACCATGATTTCTAAAGCAATGTCCTGCCATTATTTTAATATGAAATATACATAAATCTGTGTGTATATATATCACAAATAGGCCATTATTAGTGGCTGCCTTATACTGGAAATGATAGTGCATGGCTGGATTATTTGATCACTCTATTGTAGTACCTGAGACAGTCAAGCTTTTACAATGTTGTTTTAGTTCATGGTAGTAATGAGTGATTCAGACCGTTTGCTGTCTGCGGGTGCAAAACCTCCTACAGTAAATGAAGAACAGTGGTTGGTGTGCCTCAGCTGGGTACATCAGGTAGATCCTTTTGTCATCAGTGGGGCATTTAAAGAGATCTTCTTGCCAATCCTGCCCATCGTGGGCAATCTGAGAGCCCACAGTCACCACAGTAGGCACATTTACAGATTTTTTCCACTAAATATTCAGATTTGAAAGCAAAAATGATTGCTAGGCTGTGTCTTAGTTGATTAGATATTTTCTATTTAGGTTAATAAAAAAGGAAAGTTTTTCACCACCTTATAAACTATTTTAAGGGGAT